ACCACAGCTCCTGGACATCATGATTGTTCAATTCAGGAATGTAAAAGTTAGTAATCATGGCTCTATACCGATCATCATTGACTGTAACGTTGTGGCCTTCATCGTTTTTGAAGAAGGATTCCACCAGCCCATAAAGCGCACCAAACAGTCAGTTTTTCTGGATGTAACGGTGTTTCGACATACACTTGTGGATTAGCTTCACTCCAAATGCGGCAGTTTTGTTTGTTGACGTAGCCATTCTACCAGAAGTGCGCTTCATTGCTAAACAAAATTCGCTTATGAAAATCGGGAACAACGGCAATCTCGGTTTCGGCCCATTCGACGAATCTACACCTTGCTTGATCATATTTAAAATGTAATGCAACAAGATTATCTTTCGAATAAAAAAAATTCATGTCAATCGAATAATACATCGTTGTTTTATTGCAATTTAAAGTTCTATACCTCTAAAAAAACACCCTTTACTACTAATTCTTAAAAATATCATTTTGGTGTGTGTTTATTAAAGTCCCATTATAAGGTAACACGAGGGTTAATGAACTCGTAATTTTGAACCACGGTCAACTGATGAAGACGCCACCTGAGCTAGAAACCTCTCTCATAACTTACATACAACACAACTTAAGACTTGTTGAAGTCTTGGACCACTACGTAAAAGTAGATTCTGGGCCAATACACCGATCTAGTTTCCACGTATGACCCTTAAAAATACATAGTGTATAGCATACGTTGTCAAAAACTCATAAAAACTGTAACCCGAAACGAACAAATGTAGTTACAATCGCACTAATCAGCTCGACCGATTGCCGCTCTTTGACATAACGAGTAATAATAGTGTATGGTGGTAGACCTTGACCTATACATGGACGACGGCCATCACTTAATAATGCAATCTTGCCACCGTTGTCAGTTGACATACAGTCCAAAATTCCCAGTTTTTCGGAGAATACAACTGGAAATAAAATCTTGGCGTTAAAATTATTCGAATTATGATCTTATTAAGGCTCAGTCAAGAACGACACGAGGCCCTGGGCTCGAGCCCAGTTGGCCTATGCTCTTAAGAAGCCCCTGGCCAACGGAAGGACTTCGAGCCGCAACAGATTTAATATGTATCAACTCCTCTATATGGCGAGTCTCCATTTGCATTGGTTTCGACATCATTACACGCCGGCTGTGAGACTGTGACCCACTGGCGTTTTTTTTATCTGAGGGGCCCTGATAAAACAAACCCCCTTGCCTCTGAGGGGGCCATTTTTTAGATATGGAAGCCTTGTTAGTGCTACTTTAGTTACACATATTGAGGCCCCTGTAGCTTAGGCGCCCCGTACCATTGATACGGCTGATACGCCCCTGCTGTGACCATAACCACTAAGCTACCGCGATCACATTTTGCTGTATAACTTTTTCACATATAGATCACACTATATATCCATCATATTTACCGTAAAATCCGGCATATAACGCGCACTTTGAACACAAAAAATAAGACCGAAACTTAAGGGTGCGCGTTATACGCCGGGTGTAAAAATAGCAAAAGATAAACTTTTCATAACAAAGATAAACATAAAAAAACTTTTCTTCTACATGGATCGAAACACTGTTTATTTAAAAGAAACGACTTGCCTTACGAACTAAAAGAGTTGTAGCTCTAGAAGCATACTATTTTTTCAAAAGTTTGGGATAGTACCTCAAATAAATGATTTCAAGGCATAAAAGCAATGTATACTAATATTTCAGATTTCTTCGTTAAAAAGGGGATGCGCATTATACGGCGAATATACCTATAACTTTAAAAAATCAGCTTGAAAGTATAGGTGCGCGTTATATATATACACCAGTGCGTGTGAAACGCCGGATTTTACGGTAATTATGTACAAGTAAATCGTTTCATATATCATCTCCTTATTTCGACATAGATTTTTATACCTCATTTGGTTCAATATGATACCTACCTCTTTTTTCTTTCGCAATTTCTGAAAGTTACCTGATCATTTGATTTGAGAGACGCACAGTATTAATTTATTATTAGCTTCGTAACTTGAAGGAGGATTCTATAGGATAATATATATATTTAGACTTAATTCTTTGATAGAAATTTAAATTTTCTTGTGCTTTAAACTCTTCCACATTGATTTTAAGTATTTTGTTATTCTTACGCTTTAGGTTAAATAAATCACTCCAAATGTTTTTAAAAAATTGAAGAACTATTGGAGTAAAGACAGCAATTTAAAAGAAAAAAAATTTTTTTTTTTTGAAGATACAGTTCTGTTGCACGTAATTGAAGATGCGAAAGTGATAAAACCTTTTCGTATCTTATCCTGTAGGATCGGATACTTATCTAAGACCTTCAACTGTTAAAATAACACTGCTCAGATCTGTTCGATTTCTTTAAACACAATAACGTCCCAATTTCTTAATGTTTTGCAAAAATTGATAAAATATGTGTGTCAATGTCTACGTTTTCTCTTGTTTCTTATATTAAAACAAATAAACAAGTTTTAGTAGCAAATCGCTAAAACGTAAATATGGAAATCTTTTAAAAAAAAAAGTTGTCAACTCTTTCTTCTCGTTTATCAATTTCATTCTACGCATTAAAGCTTTTATATTAATTTTTTTAACTGCTGATATTAATTTAAAAGCAGAAATTTAGAGCACATAGTTTAGAATTTTAAAAAAAAAACATTTTTAAAAGTTAAAGAGCGGTAAAAAAAATGTTTAGGAAAATACGAAAGGTATTTGTCAAATGCTGTAATGATACGAACATTAAACACAATGCATTTAATAGCTCTGTTTTTTGAGAGGCTTATTATTAATTAAGAGTACAAAATTAAAATAAAAGACGAAGTGTTTTGGGAAACTTTCCTCTAAAATTCTAGAAAACATTCCTTCCTTAAGAGAACTGAGAATATTGTATGGCATTATTTATCACGAGAAACGGAAATATACGTGTAAGCCAGTAATACGAAAAGAAGAGTATTTTCAGAAAAGATTAGATATATATCTGTATCATTTCTTACATCAACGTATGAAAGCATACATTGTCGCTAGATGCGGTTGCACCAATTACTGATTTTAAAATGCAACATGCGATCGCTATTTATTTATGAATCCGTTGGTTCTGAATTTTTAACCACGGCCCATAAAGATTTTAAGAGCCCCTACTCATAATCTGAGTATGGGCTCTATGTATGTTTAACTAATGGTGTGCTTCGGGTTCTTTTTTAATTCCTACTATTAGCTCACACTCTCTATATATTTATTTATCTTGGTGGAATTTTCATTTGTTAATAAAATACATTTTAAAGCGCTCACTTGAGCTGAAATTTTATATACGCGATTATTTTGGATGACAATAAAGTAATTTAATTATATTAATAAAAATTAATGGATTAAAACCTAATTATTCAAATAATTACAAATACAGCCACGTTGACATCATTTTTCGCGACTTGACGACTTGTTTTAAAACTTGAAAAGGTTTTTTTTCCCTCACATTTTAAAGCACTCATTTGTGCTATACACTATTGTTTTGGGTAAAAATATGATAATTTAATTACACCTAATTAAAATTAATTGCCTGAAACTAATTATTTAAAAGCCACGTTGGTTTCATTTTTAGCGACTTGGTCAAAACTTTAAGACATTTTTTTCTCACTTTTTAAAGCATTCAGTTGAACTTAAATTTTATATACACGATTGTTTTGGATGACAACACGATGCTTTAATGATAGTTAATAAAAATTAATTACCACTTAATGTTCTGATTGTGTCATGTGTATATACATATTTATATTAATTGTAACTACTTAATAAATAGTAGCTAAAATAAAATTTTTCTTTGTTGATCTAACAAGGGGAGGGCACGACTAAAGAAATTCATTTGGGGTCGAGACTTAGTATAACAGTAGTACTGCTATAGGGTATTCAAATCCCAATGTAATTCTGCCGAATGGACAGTCAATTCCGAGAAAAAAGCGTTCGAAATTCATACTAAGCTTATATAGAAGTTATTTTCTCCCTTATACAACGTCGCCGTGGCATGATCGTCAGCGTATCGGAGTACTATCCAGTGGTCTGAGGTTCGTTTTTATTTTTTTTCTCCAATTTATTTTATTATTTATTTTCAGAATTAAATAATTTTATTTTTAAAAAAAGATTCATTGATTTTTAAATGATATTCTATATAATTATAGTAACTAGTTTACTTTTTTAAAACACAAAAACAACTAATATGTGATATAACTACACTTACTTATGTCATTATATTCTAATTAATTTTATTTTTGAAATTATTCCTTATACCTAAATGGCCAAAAAATTTTACTTCCGTTTTTAACAAACCGATTTTGATCAAGACAAAGGCAGTTGTTTTTAAAGAGCAGGTGTTATTCTTTTGAAAACAAAGTTTTTTTAAAAAAACAAAGAATGCTCCAATAAAATGAGAAATCAGTAGAATAGCAGATTTTGGTTTCTACACTATTGCTTAAAATTTTTTGCCATTTTTACCCCTGTTTTTATAATATAACCTTGTTACTTAAAAACATTGTTCTAGCGGTAATTCTTTTATTAACTGTGCTAGATGTCAAAAAATTAATTGTTTCGAATGTTTTTATAATTATCACTCAGAGAGGTTCTTGTAAGTAATAAAGATATGTAAGACAAAGTTTAACTTTTTACTTAAAGTTATTCAACTTTATTATAATTTAATTTATTTTTACTTTTTATTTATATTTATTTAACTTTTTTATTAATTAATTTTCACTTTTTATTTATAAAAAAAGAATTAGGTCAATTCCTACTTAGGTCAAGAAAGAAAATTTTCATTTTAGTTACTTTTTTAAACAGTTGCAATTAATAGAAATATTTATTTACATATGACAGAATCGCTGTGTTAAAAGGCAAAATAGAAATCGATTTCCCTTTCTATATATGGTGTTGGAATATTATTTTTTGTATGTTACTATTTATTCATTCATATATCACATTCTCAGAAATTAGGCCATCCCAGGTGGAATTCGAGTCCACAACCATTGGATCAGAAGTCCAACGCACTATTCATTGTGCTACAGGGACACAACGAGCGACTTTCCTTTTTATGTATGGTGTTGGATTATTATTTTTGATTGTTACTATTTATTCATTAATTAAATAATGAATTAATGTTTGAAAAAACTGTATTAACATCCAGAGTCATCCACTACAAATTTAAAAAATGCATTTGAACCTGGGTGGATGAATAAAATGTATTTTATTAGCGATTGAAAATTTGAACAAGATTTATATAAAAATATGATTATATATATAAAGAAAATGTGAGCTAAAATAGTAGGAATTGAAAAAATGTTTATGTATAAAAGTGCCATATTTTTTTGAAAAAAGGAATGAAAAAGGTATTTTTAATGGAAAACTTTTTTTATTTAAATAATGAATTAATTGAGAAAAAAATACGATTTTCAAATAAGCTAATCGCATGCAACGTCATAGTCCCGTGATAAATGTTATCACGTGTTTCAAGTCAATCAGTTCATGCGTTTCTCTACTGAGCTTCTGCATTTACTGAAACTTTCTCTTTTAAAAAGTACATATTTGTCAATAAAAACACACATAGGTAAACGAAATGCACTTGATATAAAATTACCCGTATAGTATAATTTTTTTTTCTTTTTAAATTTTTATTAACCTCTTAAAGAATTATAGTGCTTGAATATCTTTGCCTAATTATCAAGCTTGAAATTTTGTCTAAATTTTACTAGAACAACAAATATTTGTCTAAAGTCAGTTTGGGGTTTAATGAAGAACACGGATTGTATTTATCATCTGACCATCATGCATTTATTCCAATCTTTTTATTGTAATTTGGAGTAAAAAATTTTCGATGCAGGTTTAAATCTGAGTTAACATTTTTAAAATCTCCCCTTTTTTTCATTTTACATCAGCAATAAAAGTGTTACATGATTTCAAAATTATTATATTTTAATATTTGTATTCTAAAAAGATGCTTACTTGGAAAATATTCAATAAAAAAGCATTTTGAATTTTATAATCTATACCGTGAAATCTCTCCGGCGTATAACGCGCACTTTGAACACAAAAAATAAGATCGAAACTTAAGGGTGCGCGTTATACGCCGGGTATAAAAATGATAGATTTAAAAATAACAAAAGAGATGAGCTTAAAAAAATGTACTTCTATATGCATCGAAATACCGCTGGTTTTAAGAAAACTACTTCCATTATGAACTAAAAGAGTTGTAGTTCTAGAAGTATACTATTTGTTCAAAAGTCTGGGATAATACCTCGAATAAATGACTTCAAAACATAAGAGAAATTTATACTACTATTTCCGATTTCTTTGTTGAAAAGGGTGTGCTCGTTTTACGGCGAATATGCCTAAAAATTAAAAAATTCAGCTTGAAAGTATGGGCGCGCATTATACGCCGGATTTTACGGTATGTGTGTGCGAGGGTTTTTTTTGTGGATTTTATAGTTTCTGGTCTAATTATTTATCTTTAAATTTCACCGTAGTTTCTCCTTTAGCTTTTTAGAGGGGAAATTTATAAATGAAAATTATAAAATTGATTCCTTACTAAGTACATTTACTCAGGAGAAAAAAGGACGCGGTAGACTAGTGGTCAAGGTAACGGACTCGTGGCTGGCGTGTCATGAGTTCGAGCCCAGTACCACTGAAGAGCCGCCGTGTAGGGAAACGATGCACGTTAAATCTGTCGAGAGCTCAAGTGTCCTCCCGTTGATGTGGTGTGGTAATTAGGAGATGAGGGTGCCAGAGCTCAGGTATCGTCCTCGTCACTTGACCATGGTTCAAAATTACGAGGTCAAAAACGTAGATGTGCTACTAAAGAGGTAGAAAGTTGATAAGACATAAGAGTTTTTTTGGTTTTTTTTAATGAATTTATAAAATGACGCAATAGAGAAACAAGAACGAATCACAGAAGATGCAAATAATTTAAAATATATTAAAGAGTTCGTATCGCTCTTTTTTTCTTTTTTAAAAACCTTTAAAACTAAAATAATTATCTAAGATTATCAGTAAACTAAGAAGGTCAATAAAATCTCCAAAAAGGTGAAATAAATAGAAATAAAAAAGTACTTTCTTAAATGTAAAAAATAAAAAAAAAAATTTACATTACAAAGATAAATTTCTGATTTTAAAAAAAGGTTAACACAGACACACTGGTGTGTGATCTTACATTGTTTGCTTGATACAAAGTTTAAAATGGCTCTTTTCCCCTTTTCAATATCATTTAAATTTATATTACGATAAGAATTCACGTTTTTCTTTCACGGGTTTATTATCTCAGATTAAAAAATGTCACCATTGACGTCGATTCTGCATAGTCATTTTTAATTCAAAGGATATCCGCAAACCAAAGGCCATTATTTTTTACACTTTTGATTGAATTTTAACTTAGGGTGTAACTGAACTACGGAATTTGAACTTAGTTCTTTTTGCTCGCGTGTGTGTGCTTATTGATATTGAATATATTCATAATTATTCTGTTGCTATTTTTTACATTTTGTTTTCCAAGCTGATATTTCAATTTAAAATGAATACTAAGAAAAAAAATTATAGAAAGTGATCCGTATAAAGCTAAATTTGTATTAATTGTAATTAGGGAATTATACAAATTTAAGAAACTATGCAAAGAAAGTTCCTAATGGAAAAATTTTCGTATAAAAAAATATTTCGATATACATGTAAGTTGATATAGTTATCAGATATATATATATATCCATTTTTATGATACTGATATTTTGAGTTATAATTAAGTTTAATATTAGGGCTCCCCTGCAAAATTAGGTTTTGGGCGCCAAGCTGAATCTTACAAAGGTTATGTATGTGGCGTCAGTCAGGCTTTGGGTCCCCTAGATTCCTGGTGCCCCCCACGTGATGGAGAAGTTGTGGGGTTTACGTTATGCCACTAGCTAACTTTCTGTAAAATGTTTTTTTTATTACTGTATGTAACGTTAAATTTCATTTAGTATTTAAATACAATAAACGAAAAGGAGCATGTTTTATATGAGAACAAAGGATTAATTCAAATAAAGAAAAATGGTACATCTTTTATTATACTGGGCTGCTCAGAAAGTAATTTAGTTTTATAACCCTACAGAAAACCTCATTATATTTTTCACAGCCAATTTCACATTCTCCTTTTGTAAAAAATGCCTCTAAATATTAGAATAATATTTTGCCTGTATATAGCTCAGACCTCTGTTCAGAGGCTCAACTAGAATTTTTGAAATATATAACTTAGAAGTGGGTTTATTCATATTTTACGACAACAGAGGGGAGCAATTTTAAGAAAAAAACGCCGATAATTATTTCAATTGGTGGTAACTCTGAAAATAATGTGAATTTTTCAAAAATTCTAGTTGAGCCTCTGTAGAGAGGTCTGAGCTATATACAGGCAAAATATTATAATCGAACCATTTTTCACAAAAGGAGAACATTTGGAAAGAAGATTATTCTAAGTTAATTTTTTTTGCCAAAATATTATATTTAAATATTTTTTTTTGTCAAAATGTCCTTAAAACAATTTTATACATGTATTCTAATCTGAGTGACACTAAATATGAAAATTATCCATTTATGCACTTTTTTAAAATCACGGTTTCGAACGTAGACGGATACCTTAAGGTGCATTGTTATTATATATTTTGACAACTGATATAGCAAGATTTCTTTGAGAACAAGTTTAATTAAGAGCTTTCACTCATTTTTGCCTGATGATCTATCAATAGAAAGTCGCCGAAAGCAGCAATTTCGGCATACTTTACTATTCTTGTTATCGAAAAGTTAAAAATGCTGTTCAAGCAAAACTAAAATATTCGATGTATATGGAAAAGTTGCATTAACAGAACGCAATGCCAAAACTGGTTTGCAAAATTTCTTTCCGATAGTTTCGGTGTTGAAGAGGCACTACGCTACAGAAGGTCGTTTGAAGCTGATGAAGGCTAAATAAAAGCTTAGATTGATGCAAATTGCCGACTGGTGAACTAGCTGTTAGATTAAACTATTGAATTCGACCGTTCAAGATCAAGTGAAACACATTGTTTTAACTTCAAAATTTGATACATAGTTCCTCATGTTCTTACATTACAAAATTTGCTTCGTCACATTGATTTCTGAAAATTGGTTTTAAATTATCCAAAGGGTTTTTTTTATCATGATTATTTTCAATATATTTTAATATGCTTTGCAACTTACACGTATATTAATATTTCTTTTGAATTTTAACAAAGTTATCAGTAAGACTTTCTTAGTAGTCACTTAATTAGTAGTTAAAACAGCGAGATTAAGCGTCCAAATAATGTTTGTAGAAGTATATAATTTCATTGTAGTTTCCACATCATTAGTAACTTTAATTCTTTTTTTTATTAAAAGTTTTATGCTTGAAAAAAAATGTATCCTCTTCTATCAGTTTAGATATTTCTTTTTGAAACTTGGAGAGAGAGAGAGAGAGAGAAATATCATCAACAATTCTATTTTAATAGCAATAGATTAACTAACTTTCCCCTCCGTTTTTTTAATGAATTTTATGCAGGTAAAGGAAGCTAAATTTCATGTATTTTCACACTAATTTGTTGTTTTATCAAACATTTGATAGTTGTCAAAATTAATGCTTAGCTCAAGTAAAGTTCAGAAGTTTCTATTTTATGCTATCAGAGAAAAATATAAATTGTGTTGAATCATTTTAATATTCAAACGTTGATAAATTTCTCTTGATGTTTTATTTTAACAACAGATTTCAAAGTATTCAGCGAGCACAGCACTATTTTATACAATAGAAGAATCATTAGAATGAGATTAACGGTATAACTTTTTTTTCGTGCTCAAAAATTTCTTTTGTTTTCCGTTCTTTATTCATTTTATTAAGAAGTAATTGAAAGAGGGGGAAAATGAGGAAAATCTCATCTTTTCTTCTGGTACCGATGCTTCTCATGCCGTAAGGTTAAAACTATCATTTAACGAAATAGGTCAAGGTGGAAAAGGGGGAGGGGAATCAAATGAACTGCATTTGACCTTCAAATTCTAAATAAATGAGATAAAGG